CTTTCTCCTGCCAGACCCCACGCTCAAGGTAGATGACAGCAACACGCGCATCCTGATCGGGTGCCTCGTGGCGATCATCTTCATCCTGGTGGCCATCATTGTCATCATCCTGTGGCGGCAGTTCTGGCAGAAGATGCTGGAGAAGGTGGGCAAACACGGGGTGGCTGCTGAGGTGCTCCAGGGCAGCAAACTCATCCTAGGCAGGTTCTTCTGGAAGCTCAGTACAGAGAAAGCAGACTCCATGTAAGGGCTGATGCTCCCCTCTCCTCCTCAGGAAGGTTGCGATTTGCACCCATCTCTCAAGCAAGGGGATTTAGTTGAGCAGGGTGGTCACTTTGGAGCCTACCTGCTTGTCCATCCCTCTGTCCTGAAGCTGATCTGGGCAAGAGGAGCCTGGGGGGGGTCTCACCACAGCTGCCACCTAACCAAGGGCAGTCACAGAAGTGATGGAGCAAAACTCTCCTCCATAGAGGCAGAAAAGAGAAGGGGGAAACATGAGGACAAACCCAGGTGGGTGCTGAATCCCTGGGACAGGGCACCAGAGAAGAGGTTTGGGTGCAGCACTGACACCATGGAACACAAGAGACCCCATCCTGCCCATGCTGTGGAGAACCCCATCTCTCTGCTCCCTTCCCCCCTCTCACAGGCATCACGGAGGATGCTGGATGACGAAATGACCGTCAGCCTCTCCCTGCCCAGCGAATCCAGCATGTTCAACCACAACCGCTCCTCCTCCTCCAGCGAGCAGGAGTCCAGCTCCACCTACGACCGCATATTCCCCCTGGGACCTGACTACCAGGAGCCCTCCCGCCTGATCCGCAAGCTGCCCGAGTTCACCTCTGGGGAGGAGGACACAGGTGAGAGCCAGGACATCCTGCATGCTCAGAGCCATCTACCACGCACTGAGGCTGCTGCTGCAGCCCCTCTCCCCAGCCCCAGCTTTTGGCCAATCTCCAAACATTTTGGCACTGAGGGGAGAGGTCGACAAAGCTCCTGTGCATCCCATGTGGAGGTCACAAAAAGCCTGTGACCGAGAGCCATCACTGATGTCCACTACCATCCTTTGGATGCTCTGGTATCTCTTTCTGAGTGATCTGGAGGTCGGGCACTGATCCCTTCTCCTCTGGTGCTCAGGGCTGGATCAGTGTGTTGGTCAGTGACTGGGAAGGAGTCGAGCAGCCTGTGATTCTTGCAGGAACCCAGCTGTGCCGGGGCGGTGCAGGGGGCTCTGGGGAGGATAGGGATGGAGAAGCCAGCAGCTGGAGTGGGAGCAGCCCCCAGGCAGCAGAGGGTGCAGGGCCGGACACCCATGGCAGGGTGGCCCCGCTGTGTCCCCCCAGGCTGCAGTGGCCCTGTGAAGCCGTCCCAGGCCAGCGTCCCCGAGGGCGTCCCGCACTATGCTGAGGCCGACATCGTGAACCTGCAGGGCGTGACGGGCAGCAACACCTACTCAGTGCCAGCCCTCACCATGGACCTGCTCTCCGGCAAGGATGTGGCCGTCGAGGAGTTCCCCAGGAAGCTCCTGACCTTCAAGGAGAAGCTGGGGGAAGGCCAGTTTGGGGAGGTGAGTGGGGACTGGACCTGCTCTGAGCAGGGCTCAGGCAAAGCTCTTCCCAGCTCCCAGGGGCTGAGGGACACTGTTAATCAGCAGAGGTAATGGCTGCCTCTTGCTCCCCCAGGTTCATCTCTGTGAGGTGGAGGGGATGGAGAAGTTCACAGGGAAGGACTTTGCCCTGGAGGGCTTGGATGGCAGCTCTGACCGCCCCGTGCTGGTGGCTGTGAAGATGCTGCGAGCAGACGCCAATAAGAATGCCAGGTACAGGGCTGGGCGGTGCACACACCCGGCATTGCCCCCCACGTAGAGCTGCACCAGGAGAGCTGGGAAGCTTGGAAAGCATCCCTGCCTCCAGCAGCCAGGCACTCAGTGCAGCTGCAAGGACCCCACGTCTGAGCTCTCTGGGGATTCTGGGCTGTCAAGTGTCAGGATTCTTGATCCTAACCAGCCCCCCAGTGCCTGTTTACCTGCCAAGGCTCCCCTGCAGCCCTGTGTGGATCAGCCCTGAGCTCCTCCTCATGGCCTCCAGTCCCAGGGGAGTCCCAGTCCCACGAGGTTTGGGTGGGTGGGTGGCACGCTTGGCCAGTCTGTGCACACCTCTGTGCCCCTCTGGGTCTGTCTATCCGATCCGTGTGGTTTCTGTTCCGGAAAGGAATGATTTTCTGAAGGAAATCAAGATCATGTCGCGGCTGAAGGACCCAAACATCATCCGGTTGCTGGCAGTGTGCATCACGGACGACCCGCTGTGCATGATCACTGAGTACATGGAGAATGGAGACCTCAACCAGTTCCACTGCTCCCGCCAGCAGGCAGCGGACACCCCTGCCGGCCACGCACCCACCGTCAGGTAGTGCTGCCGGGACGGGCAGGGCTGGGCAGGGCTGCTTGCTCCCAGCACCCTGCCTGGCTGGGGGACACCCTGCTCAGGGCTGTGAACCCCCTGGCTGCCATCCTTCCCAGCGCCTCAGCCCTCCCTTGTCCTCCCGGCAGTGACCTGCGTTTCATGGCCACCCAAATAGCCTCCGGCATGAGGTACCTCTCCTCCCTCAACTTCGTGCACCGAGACCTGGCCACGCGCAACTGCCTGGTGGGGAAGCAGTACACCATCAAGATTGCCGACTTTGGCATGAGCAGGAATCTCTACAGCGGGGACTACTACCGCATCCAGGGGCGGGCGGTGCTCCCCATCCGCTGGATGTCCTGGGAGAGCATCCTGCTGGTACACAGGGGCTGGGTTCCTCTGACAGACACTGACACGCCTCTGGGGATTCCCACTGTCTTGTTTCTTGGGCTGGGGGGTGCAGAAGGGATGGGGAGATCTCTGCTCCCTGCAGTCCAGATTTGGGGTGAAGCATGTGAAAAGCAAGAGTGGTAGCAGCTTTTCATGGTGGGCTGGGGAGACTAGGGTCTCAGGGTAGGACATCCTTTAAGCAGGGTGTCTGACATTTTCTCCTGGCCATGGTCAGACCTGGAAGATGGAGCAGGGTTGCTTTTTGCCTTTGAAGGGAGCTGGGTCCTAGGCAAGCCCCAGCCCTCAGAGCAGTCACTGCCAGCCAAACCTGGAGCTCACCAGGCTCTGGCCCCAGGCAGAAAGCAGGTCTGTGGGACCACACACCCCTCTAGGCCCACATCTGGAAACTGAAGCAACCAGAAAGAGGTTTTGAACTCTGACCTAGGGCTTATGGAGCAGGATGGGGTAGTGCCCATGCCTGACCCCTACTCTGCTCCCTCTGGCCAGGGCAAGTTCACAACGGCCAGTGATGTGTGGGCGTTTGGTGTGACACTGTGGGAGACCTTCACACTCTGCCGGGAACAGCCCTATTCCCAGATGTCTGACGAGCAGGTCATTGAAAACACCGGCGAGTTTTTCCGGGACCAGGGCCGGCAGGTAGGGATGGGACGGGACAGGACGGGACAGGATGGGACAGGATGGGATGGGATGGGATGGGATAGGACAGGCAGTACTGTGCCTGGAACATCAGAGACCTGGAGAGAGACTTCAAGGTGACAAGATAGGGAGCTTGGGGCAGTTATGGGATGGGAACTCCTCTGGAAAGGAGCCCTGGTAAAGGGCCTGGCATGGCAAGCTCTGAACTTTACACAGTCCAAGCCACGACTTGCTTGCTGACTCTGCTTCAGCACTCAGCCAGGCTGGGAGGCAGAAGCAGGTGCCCCCAGGCCTCTCACTGTGCCTTCGGGAGGTCCCCTCGCTCCTGGGCACGCAGTGGCACAGCCCCCCACCCTGGGGCATGGAAAGATGGGGCTCCCCGAGAAATGGGGCTCTCCAGGCGCAGTTTGCATGTTCGTTTCTGTGGCAGTAACTCTCTCTCTTTACCATCTCTGCCGTTTGTTTTGCAGACCTACCTTCCCCAGCCTGCACTGTGCCCTGACAGAGTCTATAAGCTAATGCTCAGCTGCTGGAGACGGGACACCAAGGATCGTCCCTCCTTCCAGGACATCCATCGCCTTCTCCAGGAGTCAGCCAGCGAAGAATGATCCTTGGCTTCTCCCAAGCCAGGTCCCCATCCCTCCCCGCCCCCAGAGGAGCCCCATATGCAAACTGAAGCCACTTCACTTGGACTCAGCAATAAACCCCGGGCAGCTGGTCTTGTTCTCATTGTACAGTGAAGCCTCAGAGGAGAACCCCAAGGACAGCAAAGAGAGCCACGACGTGGGACGACTCAGACCTCCCGCTTGCTTGCAGACCTGGGCCCGGGAGCAGCGCGGGCTGGGATGAGGGTTATTTATTGACGCAGCATGTCCTTGGTGACAAGGACCAGGACAGAGCGGCTTCTCTTCCCCGACTGGAGGGGAGGAAGGGCAGCTGGACTTTCTCTGTGAGGAAGCTCTCAGCCCGCACAGAGGGTAGGTGCCTGGGGAAGGGATGTGTGCGGATATGTGCCTGCTGGAGCAGGGACCGACCAGCAGCCACTACCTGTTTGAGGAGGAGCTGGGAGCTGCCACCAGCTCTCAGTGGGCTGTGCAATTACAGGGTGAAAAGAAACACTCTCTGGACATTTGGGACTTTGGACATGGCTCATGGAGAGGCCAGAAGCGCCGTCACTGCTGGCCACCAGACCCCAGTTGCACAGGGAGAAGCCTGAACCACTCCCAGCACCTCACCCTGCTGCTGGAGCAGGCAGCATGCTCAGCCGTGGCTGTTCTGTGTCAGCCAGGAAGGAGCAGGCATCACCGAGGGGACATCCCCTCACGGACCACAGCCACTCCAGAGCAGCTCAATTGCCCATGAAATGCATTTTGGATACCCTATGGGGTGATGCGTGGCAACTGGCAGCAGGATGTCAGCACCTTTCACTTCCATGGGGAAATCTCCAGGTCCTCCTCTCCCAGGGTTAACCCACATCTTCACCTGTCAGGAGAGGAAGGCACATAGCAGAGCTTCGTTGGCTGCTGCCCGATGCCCATGCCTGCTACAGCCCATGGGCATGGAGCAGGGCACTCCAGCTCTCCCTGGCTCTCAGCCTGGGATCACAGTTCAGCTGACGTACCTGGCTGGACTCTGCCACCCTGAGCCTCCCACAGCAGCGTGGCACCAATCCATCCTCCCAGATCCAGCAGCATCATGAGCAAACTGGGCAGGTGCCAAAGCCATGTGCCTCCAGGAGCCCTGGCAGGTTACTGGCTACGCCCCAAAATTGGACCCTCCTGCAGCTGGACAGGAGGAACTTTGTACTTGGAGGGCACATGGACCCCTCCATACTTTTGTATGCATTAGTTCAGCACCATCAGTCACGCGTGGCACAGTTCCCAGTATTCCATTGCTAAGGCATGTATATATTCAGTAGATGCACCTATATGTAGGGGCAAACCCGCTGAAGAGACATTTGGTGTGTGAATCTGGTTGCATGGTTTGCTTGCGGCACCTCCGAGGGCAGCTCAGCTCACCTCCTCCATGGGCACTCCCAGGGCTGGGGGCCTTTGGGGCTGCACTCTGGGATGTGGGGTGGGAAGAGCCTGGGGAGCGCACACAGGTAACAGCCTAAGGGATGGAGGAAGGATGCTCAAGAGACTGGCTGGCTGAGCCACACCAGTTGTCCATCCCCTCGGGCGGCAGGGAGGGTGCTCTGAGGCTCAGCATCCATGTCAGGACACTCCACCAGCAGGGATTGAGGCAGGACAGTGGGTCTGGGAGAGGGGAGGGCAGGGATGGTGGGCTGTGCTCTGAAGAGGGACTGACTGATCTCCCCACGTGTGCTCCTGCTGGCTGTGGCAGAGGAGGTCTCATCCTTGCTGAGTGTGTCGAAGACGAGGACAGGCTTTGTTCATGCCATGGCTTTGGTATCCCTCTGCCTGTCCCCTCGGATGCCCTCTCCTGCTCAGGGTGCGTTGTGGCCCATCCCAGCCCTGCCTCAGCAAGCGGGGAGCTGGGAG